GCTGCTGCGTCGCTGTATTACATGCCATTATTATATACTAGCTGTTCTCATGCGGTTTCAACAGCAAAAAAAGTCAAACACAAAAAACATAGACATCCTTTGATATTGAATAACAATTACCGTTACCATAACAACCTCGTTTTTTGATGTCAGCTTGTAGTTTTTGGTCCCTTTCTTACATGAAGGTTTCTTTAAATTTCTTCACCCCTAAATAAAATAGCTTGAAAATAGCCTACAGGGTGTCGTAAGTTTAAGGTTTTTTGTGTTGTATGTGCTGTGATTGCTGACATCCTACGTAAGTAAGTGATGTGTGTTTACACTTTATTATTAGAATACATTTAGTAATGTCGGATACTTTAATGCGAGAAGTATGAGATGGGGCAACTCACGTGGTGGTGTGAGAGGGCGTGTCTCGCGTGGTGCGGCGCCATCAGCTCCAGTGGCGCCCCTCGAGCCTGCAACATTTATTTAACTAACTCAAGTAACTTTCCTGTCCCATAGGGTTAGCAGGAAGAGATCGCTCTTAGCGATAAGGCCGCCCTTGCGCAAATCAAGTAACTTAATTTTAGCTTCCTGTTGTATTATTTGTGCAAAAGTATTATATAAATGAATAAATAACTATGAAAGAAATTGTTTTATTAGAATATTATTACAGAATATTAGAAAACTGAAGTAATTGTGGCGGTAGTTTTATAATAGTAGGGTAGTTTTATAAAAGACTGCAAGAAGTGGCATGGCTTACTGTTGAAACTCACGACTGAGAGACCTCAGTCACTCAGTCGTTCAGTCGCTTAGTAGCTCAGTAGCTCAGTACATTGCTAGACGTCACCACAGAACGTTCGATATCTTTTAGTTGCGTTTGTTTTAGTTTTAAAGTAATTCACTAGTATTGCTCATATTACCGTTTGACTATTATTTGTATTGAAATGTATAAGAATATGTTACCTCAGTGAGCAACAGGGGGCCGTGCGCGGCGTGGTGCAGGTCGGGCGCGGGCTGCAGCGGCGACAGCCCGCCCTCGCCGCCGCCCAC